AAAATCTTCAAATGTAACCCAAGTACGCAATTAACCAACCAAAAGTAAACTTAATTTCCAACTCGTAATAACATATAATAAAAGAAATTTCCGCAAATCTACACACACGGCAACTGAACCATCTCTTCAAGTACAAACAGTTATTTAATTTAAGACATTGTAAAGCGCTCATGTGAAAATGCGATCAATTTTGGAAGACTTAGGTACTTATGTTTAACGGTATAATAAACCATTTCCCACAAACGCGTCGGTTAAGTAATAATAATTTCGTTCAAATAATATAACTGAACATTACGATGAGATGGTCTGGACGAAGGTTTAATTAAATAATGGCGGAATTCAAGCACAAGGAAGACGAAGAAGGCGAACCGATTGCGGTGCTCTTGCCGTCATCATCATTATCATCATCATTAACATCACCAAATCGGGCACTTAAAATTTACAACCTGCGGGCATTTGTTCATCAGATCAATACGGGGGTTTACACAGAAGAGTTTAGGAAAACTAATTGACAATAAATTGAGAACGAAACAAAGGCAATTATTTGATGGTATAGGTAGTTTAGAATAACATGAACTTCAGATGCACGAAAAGTGGACCTTTTCGCTTTCATATTATACATTTTGAGAACATTGACTCGGTTATTAGATATTCTATTGATATTCAGTAAAAGTTCTTTATTCGCGGGGTATACGTTCTATAAATGTGCCGCGAATACAGAAACCGTGGATATGGAATGGCAATTAGTATGGAATCATAGGGGATACGTTGTAAGGTTCCGAAATGAAACCAATATGTATCAAAATAAAATCAATGTATTGATAAATTCGCAATTAACATTAATCGTTATAATCAGCTTTTAGTCGTTATAATCAGCTTTAGGCAAGAGTTTACCAAGAGTACCAACAGTACGTAGTCAAAAGATGCCGATACATTAAGGGGTTTCAGTAGTACACGCGCTGTAGGATAAAAACATTCTTATCGGTTCTAGATATTATGAGTTTAATGCTTGGATCAGAGGTTTGAAATTTTGTAGTAAGATAGATAAAGCTTTGTTCTAAAGCCTGTCGAAGGCTATTTTTTATTTTTTTTATTTCTATTGAAAATACGTGCCCTACAAGAAGCATCTATTTTAAGCATTTGTAAAAACTTTTAATAACCAAATTATTGAAAATCAAAAACATAACGAGTTAGTGTGAACCTTTGTTTGTTACTGTACAAAAACTCATATATTTAACTATCAGTGTTAAATCACAATGACAGCGAAACAGCTGTGATATTTAAACAATCGAACATTTCCTATTCTTATTAAGCAAGTCATCTGTCGAGTACAGGTACCGTCACCTGGCGGTTACCTACAAATGCAAGAATGAGAGTATAAGCCGTCAGTCATTGAAAGCATGGTTTAAGATTATTGTTTTTATTGTCGTAGATTTAGGCAAACTTCTGAGGGATAATTAATCAACACACAGCCGAAAATTAAATGTTCCATTGTAAGATATTACTTACCAAGACTAGCATCCCGTTTTAAATTAGAACAGCTGCTGCCAACCAGGTTGCTTGAGTATTATGTTAGGGTGCAAAATAACTTTTTAATTAAGAAACTTCTTATCGATTCTTCAAGAAGTAATTATTTTAAGCCCCTAAGTAATAAGCCGGTTTATGGTCGTAACTTATTGTAACACTTAACCTATGCTTCCTTCCTCAGATAGGTAGACATGAGGCGTCGCTGCAACGGTAAAATCAGTAAATTTTAATTTGTTAACTGCTCCTCCAGTTTTCTGGAGGACAGTTGTATATAATTAAGTTTAGTACGTGGCAACAGAGTAATTAAGTCGTTAATGAGATCTTGGCAAATTTTGAAACACGCTGCCTTATCAAATAAGATTAAACGTCACCTTCTCTCACGCAGTTGGACGCTTCGGTACCCGGCCCTGGGCCATAAGGAACAAAGGGGAATGGGTGGTTTACGCAATGAGTGAACATTAATTTCAATTTCTCTAATGTCTGTTACTTTTCTTGCTTAAACTGAATCGAAATTGTCGGAAAATGAATTGCGTGTTGACAAAAAGGTAACAGATCATAATTGTGTGACGACAATTCTTGTTTTTAAAACTCAATTCGATTAAACAAAAAGTGGGATCTTTATAGGGGGGGGGACATTGCATATGTACATATTAAGTTGGTTAACTAAACATAATATTCATATAGTGAAAAGTTGACACTATATTTACGTTTTCGATCTCGGTGATTACGAAAAAAAGAAATTAATAACACTTTGGTGTCTGGCTTCTATGAGAAAAAGGCATTTTTAAAGTTCAAGATGCTCATATCTCAAGGACTAAAATACCTACCTACCGTGAAATAGCTTGCCATGTGAAAATGGGGTCACTAACTTTTTTTAGGGGATGTGTATTAATTGCATAACGTGCTGTTCTTGATTATTTATACCCCTCCTTTCCTCTTGGTGAACTAGATTTGCTAGGATGTGGTAGAAACGGTCTCCCCTCACAGGAAATTAACCCTATCTAGGGATTTTTTTATCTTCATACGGTAATGTGAACGCAAGGGCGGTTGGTAGTTGAAATTTCAATATAAAATTAAGCTATACCTACCTAGAAGTTCATCTTTATCAATACCTGTATTTACAGCAGGGCTACCTATGTACTGTCTATTTCAATGTGTTAGAATTGTGACCTTGAAGAAATCTGCGCGAAAATAAAAAGAGTACACACTAGCCGTGAACGAGCAGAGCTCTCTATGGGCGGTCTTAGGAGATCGCCTAGAACTGTACAGTACTTAACGAAAATGTTTAGCAATTTCTTAAAACAAAAATGTATATAAATTAACAATAGAAAACAAAGCAAATGTTTTATAGGTGTGTAGAACGTTAAGTTAATTCACTTGTCATTATTTTTGGCTAAATATGCTTTTAAGTATTCTTAAATTTTAACGAGGCAGTTTAAAAAATTTTGTAAATGGTACTGTACATTTTTGTCTAGTTCTCGCTCGATGATCGGTGGAGAAATGAGCTCCGCAGACAAATATGATTGAATTTGGAATTATGCTACGGCGCATCCTAATAAAGGGAAGGGGCATATCTCTAACTT